TAACTACTAGAACCCAACCATTTTCTCCAAAATTTGAAGACTAGTTTTGTGACCTCTCCATTTGATCCAACGCCACAACATATGGCTCCTTTGTGAGTCCCCGGAGAAACATTCATAACTTTCGTAACTTCCATACCTACGCAACAAACTTGCCAAGGAAAGCCATCAAATCATTCTCCCTTGCAACCTCTGACACCTGGACAAGAGGCGTTCCTTGACATTCAATTGTTGTAAATCAATCTAGGTGTGCAAGGAGCGATTGATTTGTTGAGTAGCATGTTCAACGACGGGACCCCGATGAACACGTTGAGCACATAGACAATCATATAGACTACTATCATGCCAAGGGAGTTATAAAATACAAAACCTTTGCATTAACCTTACTGGAGCTATTATGACTTGGTACAAAACTCTTCCAGATTGGGAGCATCAACTCGTGGAAGGACCTATGTGACGCCTTCACCGCCTAATTTATCGCTTGCAAATGACAACCAAGAACCATTGTGGTTCTCAGCATAATCATGCATGTGATGAAAGATACTCTACGAGGATACATAGACCAACTTACAAAGGTGGAAATAACATTAGGAGGCATGGATGACGAACTGATATGTTGGATATTCAAGAAGGACTTGAGACTAGACTATATGTTCCGAGAAAAATTAGGGCTCGAGGGAGCATGTAGTTTTAGAAATCTACTAAACAGGGCATAACCCTGAATGAATTGGGAAGAAGAGCTATTAGCTAAGGAAAGCGAGAAAAACTATGGAGTCTAAAGTGTCGTTTATAACAAATTTCCCGAGAGGAATAACAATCCCCGAAGTAACGACGAAGGGCGAGGATCCTGAGAAAGGGCTCCATTCTACAATCCGTTGATTACTTCAAAGGGAACGATCTAGCAGGAATCCGCCAACACTAATTTCAAAGAGGGAGTGATTAGGAATTTCTACCCGATCAAAGAATCTCCAAGGATGGACACATGTTGAAATATTGTTGTTTCCATAAGAGTCACAACTACAATACAAATGATTGTATTTAACTAAAGGATGCAATTAAAGAGTTGATTAAGAAAGGCTGACAATCTGAGTACACTCAAGAAGGTGGCATAAGCCAAGAAAAAATAAAGGGGCATGGGGTCGTGAAGAGTCGTCAAGACAAAAACGGTCTCCTCGAAGAGAGAAGTTATCCCCCAAGAAAATCATCGAAGTTGTGGCTGGGAGTAGGGAGAAGAAAGGCAACAATAGTTAAGAGGAAAATGACTGAAGGGGAAAGCCCCAGTACATTGCATCCATTACAAGAGGCACCCCGAGACCAAACAATCCGTCTAAGAGTGCAATTAAGAGACAATTGTTGAACAATTGATTGTCAGTAAGGGAGAAGGAGAAGCTTCTTCTATAAATCCAAAACGAACTATCTCAGAATTCCTGGATAGTAAGAAAGTAAGAGGAATCCCAAATGACATCTTTCCCCTATGGATAGAAGTAAACATGGCCATTTGATATCATACATGTCGAGCTCTATGAAAAGCCTGAATTAAATAAAGAGAAGCTATAGTCATTTGAGGGGTCCAATTAACAAGCTTTCAATGATAGTGGTTGATTTGATAAAAGAAATGATTTTGATATTTAAAAAGGAATAACAGAGCATCATATTATCCGTTTTCATTGTATTTTAGGATAATTTTTATTATATTTATAAAAATATGCTATAAATCAATAAAAATAATTTTTTTAATAACAGAGAAATAAATTAATTGAATTTGTAACAAAGACGGTTACAACTTTATGAATTTTCTTTCATTTAAAAAAATAGACTATTGTAAATTTATAACGAATTTAATTCAAGTTAAATATAAAATTTGTAGAGAACTTCAGTCAAATTTCAAGATGAACTAAATTTTATCAAGCCAAATCAAACAGATATGCGTTCGACGCGACTTATTTCAATCCTACAAGTGAGGATAATCTTTGGAATACCAAATTGGATTCATACTCATCAAATTAAAATTTAAAATTGTACTAAAAAACTTCTCTATTTAATGAAAAACACGGGTTATAATAATTTCATGATAATTTTGAAAAACTAATATACATTATAGACAAAATTAATGTAAATAACTATATTATGTAATTTTCTTTAATTTTATGAATTTATCCAAAGAAACATATATTCAGTGACAAGAGTAGAATTCACTTAACCACTTAAGCTTATACAAAAGAGGATGAAAATGGATTACCCAAAGAAGAAGGGAGAAAATGGAAAAAATAACCCAACAACTTCTTATCTCAGAGACCCATGAATCCAAATATCATACATCAATTTTCAGCAATACCACAACATCAAGCACATGTTTTAATAAACCAGAAGATAAGGATAGCCTTAAGATCAATCATCAGGAAAACCAAGGAATCTGTTTATATGACTGGCTACTGGTGTAGCATCACCTGGAGCATAAGGAAGGAGAGAATTTAAATCCATATCTGATATTGTTTGATGGAGTGTATGAGGACTAGCACAATACAAATGTTTTCGCTTGGCAAGTTCATCTGCAAGCTCACTTTGATGATTATCCATTAAATCTTCGTTTACAACCACAATTAACGGTTTGCGTAGCCGCAGAGTCTCAAATATGCTGCCTGACCCTGCATTATATCAGAGTCGTGACAGTTAATTTCCCAGTAACCAGTGAGATAGGGATGTTTCATTGTTTCATGATGAGAGGCTAGAAAGCATGAACATAATTATGGTTAAAAAACATGAGCTCAAACAAATTTACTTTCACCAAGAGATATTGATGAAATTTTAAACAAAAAAATAGTTAGACATTATGGATTTCCCTCTTCTATTAGTTTCTAACAAGGACAGTTTAGACTTAATGGACATTATTATTAAAATTGTATGGACCCGAACTGAAATTCAGTGCTGCATATCATTCCCAGTCGAATGGGAAAACCGGGGCTACTAACAGATAATTTTAGTCTTGCCTTAGGCGTCTTATGTGAACTAAATGGCTCAATTGACAGAGTTTTGGAATATTGCTAACTATAATAATGTTGCAAAGATGGACCGACCCCTTTAATGCCTTATTTGGGAGAGACCCTCTCTGTATTAATTAGAGATGTGACTCGAACAGTAGTAGAGGATAACAGGCTGATAGCTGAAAGAAATCGCACGTTGGATTTATTGAGAGGAATTATTTGAAAACGGAAACAGAACAAAATGCACAACCAGCCTAACAAACTCGTGAAAAAGTAGAATTACAGTTAGGAGACATAGTTTTTCTGAAGATACAGGCATACATCCTGACATGTTGAGGACTTGGGCTAAAAGGGCGAATAAGAAATTGAAATTGATATTGTGAAAAATGATCGGCGATCGGGAACTCAAGGTGCATCCAGCTCCAGCCCTTGCAATACAAGCTAATGCCAATGGAGAAAAAGTTCTTGTCCATCGGGAAAGTCAACCTGACTTTGAAAACTATTAAGAAACTCATCTATATTCTATAGTAAAGAATCAGTATCCTAAATCCTACCTTGTGAGAGTCTTTTTTGTGTGAAACAGGTATCCTACACACGGAACTACAAAGATTAATCTCTCAAATCACGTAGGATCCCAATGGACGGAAAACCTCTCCCTCAAGACTTTTAACGCAGCTGCATTCTCAGGACTGAGTTCGAACACCCAGGATCTTTGATAATGCTGGAAGAGAGCGTAACCATCTCATCCAAGCGCTCTTGGATACTAAAGTAATAGTCGAATAGAAAATCTTAGATTGAAGAGAAAAAATGCATTATGTGAGTTTGCATATAACTATCGGGTTGTTAATGAATGGGAAGCGTGAGAGGATTCTATATTTTTCGATTATATAAGCTGATGCCAGATAGTAAGGTAGCAGGAAATTGGTTTTGATTTGGATGAAACCTTTGGGAGAGAGTAGGCAGTCTGACTAGTCTACACTACAGCCAATCACATGATAATTTGTGTATAACTGTGAAAATTAGTGAAAACAAACATGCAAAAGACAAGTTGTAAGAAGCATACCTGCATGGCTAATTACAAGAGAAGCAGATCTGAGATGGTCTGCAATACTGGAAGAAAAAGTGAAGTAGTCTACAGCCAATGAACCTTCTCTTTCAGACTGCAGTCAAATATTATTAACAAGAGTTAACTCTGTAAAAAGAGAAGTATATATCTGATTTGTTTTTTCAAAGCAAATCCAACAAGGTAAGATTATCTACATATTTCTCCACACTTTTATCCTGCAGACATTTTGATAACTGCCATAGCCAATTTGTGAAGGGAAGTCTGCCATGGCGGCTCCATAGGCCACAATGGCATGTTTATATGGCGGATTTTTGGCTCTCCGCCATCAACAGCATTGCGTAAATCTAGAAGTTGTTAATTGTTGCAAAGCCACATACTGATCAAGCAAGCTCCACGACCTGCTATTTTCCCACCGAGGCAGCATCACCCAAGTATCTCCAAGATTCATCAAAGTTATAACTAGCTCTTTCTTTATCCCTCAAGTTAAGGCAATAAAGTTGATTCAGCAAATGTTTAAAGTGACAATGCCGCAGGCACAAACTTTCATAGCCCATATCAGCCCAAAAATGAAAATACACTATCATATTAGAAAAAAAGATGAATTCTCTAACGGTAAACTTTCATCTCTTTTACAAGCTCTTAAGTTCATCTTCCACTGTCAACTGATTCATAATAACTGATAAAACTTTTGAATGCGTAATAAGGAAACAAAGAAGGAAATCAACGAATAACGTTTTAAACTAACTACCTTGGTAGGAACAAAGGATCCACGGCCCATTTGTATAAGAAGATTGGTATAACCTTTTGCAAGCAATTCTTTCTTAACATTTTCTGAATCCATAGCTCTCACAAGAGCATCAAAAGAAGTCGTTCCTACCGTCACAAAAACCACTCTCCTTGTTTTGTCACCTCCTTCCCCGTCCCCCATTTAATTAAGCACGCCACGCCACTCGATTTCAGTTCAATTTGATTCTTCCACCAAAATATGCTTATGTTAAAAGTGTGTCGACATTAAAAACAACAATCAGTGTTTGGGAGAGTCGATTTCATCACTGAACAAAGCATCACAAACAGAAAGAATGAATCAACAAAACACTATGGTTACCTAGAGCCAGAGAAGGAAAACGGACTGCAATTTTTTGTGGGACTGGTTGCACATTAGGGCCATTCATCTCATAAATCAAACAAAAAACTATGAATCATGCATTTTCGTCATGGCATTTAAGAAAATAGACACAAATTCTAGAGTTGCGAACAATTTCATGCATAAACACTATTTTTATTTGATATCCTCGAAAATCAAAACAAGAAAAGCTATACTATACTACTGAATGCAATTCCAAACTATGTCATTATAACAGTAATTAGCAATGCAATAGAAACAAGCATGCCATATTTTGGGCTATTCTGAAAGAAATGAAGAAACTTCACACTGACAACACAAGAGGTATATGCTAGCTTCAGTTTCTTAGACCAAAAGTTTCAGAAAGCCATTAACACTTTCATCAGAAGCATCAATAGATATTTACTTTAATCAAGCTGGGACTATAATTCGGTGTAAAATTGTTCATAATAATGACCTATATTCCAACATAAGGTTAAGAACTCAAAAAAGAACTAATGGTGGTTGGCTCTAACATTTCTCAGCATGCCAAACCACGACTCAGATCCCTACGAAAAGAGTTGCCACATTTAATTGGAATTTCCTCCTCTAAAGTGAGTAGCAAATATAGTCAGAAAATCAAGAGTTCATAATTTAACGCACTAACGATTTATCATAAACCATGGATTTGATTAGTAATGGTGGTTTAATTTACCAATGCTGGCCTGGCTCTAACATTTGTAGTGTGTTAATTAAGTCACAGTATGAATCCCCACAAGCACAAGCGCCACAGTTAGTTCAAACCGACTTTTCAAAAGCAAGTGGATTATACCGTTAGAAAATCAAGAATTCATATCTTAACACACTAATGATTGTCATCAACCGTTGATCTATTCAACAAATGTCGATGGTTTATATACTCACTAAATGAATTGCTTTTAACGAGTCGTAACGGATCAATACTCGATGACATTCATGAGCAAGTGATTTAAACTGCATACTACAGCGCGTAGATTTTGCAAAATCACTGCTCACAGTGATTTCGGCAAAGTAACTGTCATACCAAACATGCGTTGGCAAACTTTGTGATACCAAACATGCACTACAACAACCACATTTTTTCAGCAATCACAAGGATCAGAGTGTAACAGCAACTGCAATCACAATCTCTGTAAAAAATGTGTGTTTTGTGTCAGTATCACGTCTGAAACCAACCGACACTTGTAATTACATTTAATTTATTTATTTTTAAAAATTATTATCAGTATTGGTGCCGTGTTTCTGGTGTCCGTGCTTTATAGATGTTAACCGTAATTTAGAATCACGGTTGATAGTTTATATACTAAATTTAACCCTAAAAAACTGAATTAAAAGTTTATAACAAATTGCAATGAAGAATGAAAAACTGATTGATTTTGAAAAGTGTATAACAAAAGGATTGTGTAGATACCTGAAGGAGTGTTGGTGGATGAGCGGTGCCGTTCTTGCGATGCCGCGATCTCGGTTAGATTAACTGTGTAATAAAAAGAGAGCATTGTGAATTGAAAACGGGTTTTGTGTCTATTCTGTTAAAGTATCATCAGTGTAATTTTGATTAGCTTCAACAACAAGGGCATTTGGTCTAGTGGTATGATTCTCGCTTAGGGTGCGAGAGGTCCCGAGTTCAATTCTCGGAATGCCCCTTTTTCTTTATTTTTTAAGTTTTAACTTCATGTTAAGTGACACGCGACGCTACAAACATTTTCAAATTTATAATTCGGAAATAATTTTTTTGAAATCCTATTATTGATAATGTTATTTTAACAAATATGTTTGATAAAATCTTGATATTTATTAGAGTTTATTTTAAATTTTATTTTTCTTAAAATTAAAGAAAATAGGGATAAGTGAATAGCTATTGGTAGTTTTATTTTATGTTTATGGGAATAAAAGATCTTTAACTCTCACATAGAAATGTATAAAATTTATGTTTTAAAAATAAATAATATTTAAGAATAATCTTGTCAATTTTATATCAAACATAAAAATGTTATATTTCTAAATTATTATTTTTTAGGAATGTTTATGCCATCTTTAAAAAACACAATTAGCATGTAGATTATCTATATTAATATTGTTACTTATGACTACCCAAGACCCCATAATGTTTAGCTACTCAATAGCCTCAATTTTTGCTTCAATCAAGTTATCTCTTATATTTTTTGTATTTAAGCGTGGAAATAAATTAAGTTGAGTTAAGTTTTTTTAAATATAAGTCTGATCTGTTAAAAAATTTAAAATTTAAGTGTGGTTTGTGTGGTTTTTATAGGTTTATTTTTCAGTTCGAGTCTGATACTTTCGAATGTCTAATTAGTCTATTAACCTACTTAAAAATTTATATCATTTGAACATATGTAAATAAACAATTCCATTAATATTCAAATAGACTAGAGAATTAAAAATAGAATGAGACTAAATATTTGTTTGCATTGACTTATTTGATCATAGTAGCATAAGTTTTGTGATTTTATTTGTTTGAGAAAACTTATGAAAACAACTTATGACATTAATCATAATGTTTTTTCAACTTATTTTCATAAGTTATTCAAGATAGTCAAACTTTAATTTGGTATTTTAATATAAAGTACAAAATATAATATAAAAATAATAAATTTATTCGTATTTTTTAAAATAGGCTGGCCTGATAGGCTTAAAAGACTTTTCTTAAGGCATGTGGCTTAGCCTATTTAACTAAATAGGCTAATAAAAAATCCTAGACCTTGGTCTGTGTAGGTTAGGCCGTAGGTCCCTGTTAATTGGTCTGATCTATTCCCACCCCTACTCGTGTTGTTTAGAATATCAATGATACCATTCAAGTTATTTCTAAATATTTCTCCAAGATCCCAAATACACATATTTATCAAACTAGCATATGTGTTGCAAAAAAAACCATCTTGTCGTGTTGTCACTCTTGGAGTACATGTGTGGTTCATCTTCTCGTTGATCTGGTTCGCACCTTGATCGTTATTGCTAGTTGCGCTGATATTATTGTGACTAAGAAGGTAAGTCGCCTCCTTATTTCCCTCTGAATTGTTAGAAACACCATCATCCTAAGTATCTCTAATTCTAACTTTGTTGTTCATATTCCTGCTATGAGCATCTTCACCCCTCTCACGATCAAACATCGTAGCTTTGCCTTTATCTTTGTGAGTCTAAGGATCGTTACTCTTCCTACCACCATTGTTACCATAGCATCTGAAATTCTGGCACACACAAAGAAATATCAAGACAGATGTTATGACATCATTTTCTAACAGAAAATACATTTACCAAAACAATAATTATGCAAAAGTAAATTGCAAAAGTTAAAAGATACAATCAATTATTAATATAATTCGGTGCAACCCACCTACTCTGGAGGCATCCAAGCCATGAAGGAAATTCACTATACTAGTATTAGTTCAAAGTCTAACCAATTCTAGTTTACAACTTATCACCTAATCACTACCGTATGCAATTTCTACCCAAACCCTTTTAGGTATGAGAACTTGTAACACCCCAATTCTACCTCAAGCAATTATCAGAAAATCAGAGTATAAAAATTTCCAATATAATCAGGATGTCACATATTCAACAAAACACATAAACCTATCATGCTTTTAGAATGGATACATAACACTTAAAGAAGCGGAATAAACACAACTCATGAATAAAGTCTTCATAACATAAACCAAACTCTGATTAATCACGCAGCGGATTCATAATAATTCTCTAAATAAGAAATAACATCTTCTGAACCATAAAACAACATCAATATAATAACTCCTCAAATAACAATATAAGTTTCAATAAATAAACAACAAAATAAGACAAGCGTTCACCCCCCCCCCCCCCCCCCGCCCGAGTGCTACGTATCAGAGTAAATGACACTGAACTCGAACTAACAATGTTATCGGCTACTCATCATGGTTACCTGCACGTTACCAACAAATGGCAACATTCAAACAGAAGGGGTGAGATATCAAACTATATAAATAGGGTTATGATAAACATTATATTAGGTAAAGAATAAAAAGAATCACCACTTCATACGACCATAACTCAACACTTCACAAATCATCAACACCACAATTCAACATATACGACTCAAATATGCAACTCGAAACTGTGCGAATGCATGTGGTACCATCGGAGGAAAAATCCCAACATCAACACTTCACATAATCATTTTGCCAATACAGGCTGTTGTACCCCAAAATTTGCCCTCCCTTTTTCACAAGGAAATCACAGCTTCGGGCTTTTCCTGATTTTTCAGATTGGCTCAAGAATCGGTCAAACAGACTTTTCTTATCAGTCAAACAAAATTAGGGTTTCCATTAACTTTTGATTATTAGGGTTTTTAGTGATTTGGTGGAGTTTGGCTCAGGGTTTGATCAGGCGGACGTTTCTTTGACAGTAAATCCAACATTAGGGTTTGCACGCGCATTCTCAAAAGGAATTGAGTCCACAGTTCTTTGCAATCGACTGTTACATTGTTTTGACGCTTGTTCAAGATTTCTGTCTGTCTCTCAAAACCTGAAACACTGGGATAGAAGTTGAGGTTTCTGATTGAGAGTTTGAAGTGTTGGTTTAATCAGTGAAGTGAAAAGCGTATGGACGTTTGTTTGTTTGACTGTGCAATACATATGGTTAATTGGAACGCCGAGCTTATTGTTGGTTAAAGTAAGGCTATGAGACTGCGATGTTTGTTGATTATTTATAATTTCTAAGTTATAATTATTGGGATAATTTCCAATTATTATAATTCAATAAATTTAAATAATTAAATAAGCAATTGTAGAAGAAATCAAGAATTATCAGACAAAAGATTTTTTATTCATTTTTAATTATTGTTACAAATGTTTATTTGATACAGTAAATTTATTTACAGTATTTACAATAAATTACAATGATTAAAAATAAAATAAAACAATCATCCTAAGCTTCTTGAAGTCTTCATCTTCTGCTGCTGCTTCCCTTGCCCCAATTGATATTTACCTGCAGAGCCAGAAAAGGAGAAATCAATACAGATGAATTGGAAAAGCATTTTCAGACAGTTAATCAAAAACTCATCATTAAAGGTGGTTGGCCGGAATCAGATTGTTTTGATTTTCATCATATTTTTCTCATCCTCTTTGCAAATCACAAGAAGACTCTCTTCTTGGTTCACAAAGAGGAAAGAAAAATTATTTTACAAGCATATGAATCAATTAAACAAAATGCACAAAGATGCATAAATTCAAACAAGGAAAACCAAACAGCCAAGTTACAAATACGCAAGGCTGCATAGAAAGTTCACCAAGTCACAAGTGTAAACAATGCCAAACCAAGTTACAATTGTAAGCAATGGCAAACTAAGTTACAAGAAACTGTCCAAAGAAGTTGTCAAAGCTGTCAAAGAAGATACCAAAAGATATCAAAAGCTATCAAATTGTCATCATAGAAAAGAAGAAAGTACAATATGCAGAAGAAAGCTAACATTGCAAGCAAGCTTGTAAAACCAATTTCATCATTTTCCCTAGGCCAACACCTTTTCAAAATGAAAAGTACCTTTAAGCAATATAATATGCTTTAATAGAGAGAGAAAAGAGAGAGAGAGAAGTAGAGGCTTACAGTTTTTCAGGCAGGCTTATAGATAAATAAATATAACAAATCAAAATAGTTCAAGGGAGGACAGAAAAACCAGAACAGATATCACAAAACTGTAAAACACCAAAGCCAAGCATAACACATCCTGCATCAAAGCCTCTCAAAAACTAACAAGCTCAAAAACTTCAAACCTTTGTTCAAAACATAAGCCTTCCTTCATAAAATATCCAAACAAAACTGAAGCAAGCCTGCATAAAAACATTCAACCTGCCTTCAAGATCAAGTAACTAAACTCAAAGCAAATCCAAATACTCTCAGAACCATGTTCATCACAGGGCCAAAATAGCCAAACGATACCAACCAAGTTCAAGAGAGGAAGAGAGTCAAAAACA